CCCTGGAATGAGAGTAAAGGAAGAGGAGAGAAAGTACTCACCAAGTTTGCACCGAAGCTCAGAGTCTGATGAGACTCTGGACTCAAAGCCCCATGTTGGGCACCATATGATGTTGGAAAGACATTAGGGTTCAAAGCTGATGGCCAAGAAAGACTTCTTGAGATGTCTTTGGTGTAAAAAGGTGATTTTATTAAAGCATGGGGACAGGATGTGTGGGCAGAAAGAGCAGCACTGCGGTCATAAGGAATGGCCTATTATATACTTTCAGGTTGGGAGGGGGTTAGGGATAGCGTAAGTCTCTAAGGAATTTTGGAAGCAAGGTTTCCAGGACCTTTAGGGGCTAGCTGTTGTTGGGAAAAGGTCATTTATTACCATCTGATAAAACCTGAATCATGAGACCCTTCAGATGTATATCGATGGGCCATATGCTTGGGGGATGATTGCCAACACATACCTTGGGGGGCGGGTTTAGAGATAAAGGAAGTTTCCAAAGGAATTTTTATATGTTAAAGTAGACTCACAGGATCCTGGTGGTGGGTGTTGGGATAATGTTAAGCTAAGATTGCCTTTTGCCCTTAGCAAAGTTTTTTTTTTTAAAGATTTTATTTAGTTATTTGACAGAGATAGAGACAGTGAGAGCAGGAACACAAGCAGGGGGAATGGGAGAGGGAGAATCAGGCTTTCCGCTGGGCAGGGAGCCCGATGTGGGGCTCGATCCCAGGACCCTGGGATCATGACCTGAGCCCATGACCTGAGTGGAAGGCAGATGCTTAACGACCGAGCCACCCAGGAGCCCCGCCCTTAGCAAAGTATTAACACGGAGGCAGTTGAGTCCCTAGAGGAATGTCACTCTGCCTGTTTCAAGGACTTGTCAGTGGGCTGTAGGTAGTAAGGAAATTTAACAATTTTTTTCTGTCTTTGTTTCCCACATCACAAGTACCTTGAAAAGCTTGTAATAGATACTTTCAAATGTCCCCAATAAAGGTTGCCCCATCTCTCACCTTGACCAGCCTTTTATCTGGTTTTTATTCCATACTGTGCACTGCCAAGGGTGTCTTCAGCCCCCTCCCCAAAGCCATCCCGAGGTGCCTCCCAGCCTGTCAGTGGGTTCCTGTCTGTGTCCCACAGTTGCCTTGGGAACAAAACCGAAAACCTGAGGAAAACAACATGAAATTTCTTCTTTTTCAGGTGAACAATTTATCAAATCAAAATCTTAATAAGGAAAAGCTAAGGAAACAATCCAGTGGGTTGGGGGACTGAGGGCAAGTGCCCAGCTCCCTGGGGTTCCAGTCAGAGCATGGGGACCCCAAGAAAGGCTCCCAGTGAGGTGTGTGGGAGGGAGAGAAACCTGTAAGAATAAAGAGTCTTGGGGACTTGGTAGCCAGTTAATATACACTTTATAGTTAAAAATTCTTAGGGGGCCTGGCTGGATCCGTTGGAAGATCACGTGACTCTTGATCTCAGGGTTGTGAGTTCAAGCCCCTCATTGAGTGTATAGATTACTAAAAAATAAATTAACTTTAAAAAATTCTCTTCAGGGGTGCCTGGGTGGCTCAGCTGGTTAAGTGTCTGCCTTTGGCTCAGGTCATGATCTCAGGGTCCTGGGATCGAGCCCCGCATCGGGCTCCCTGCTCCGCGGGAAGCCTGCTTCTCCTTCTCCCACTCCCCCTGTTTGTGCTCTCTCTCTCTTGCTCTATCTTAAATAAATAAAATCTTTTAAAAATTCTCCTTAGTATAATTTATTTTCCTTTTACCGTATGGTTTTGCAAATGTAAAAACTGTGCTTTTGTCACTGCTCAGGGCAAGATCATGATTTAAAATACCTGAAGGAATGTGAATAAAAACAGAAAACTAAAGTTGCCTGAAGCATTTCTGGAGCATATTAATTATCCTTTAAAAAGTAGCCCACCCAGGAAGGCCAGTAGGAAGGAAGATCTCTAAAGGCCTGGAGCTGAGCTTCTACTGGGCAGAGAAGGAATGTCCTGCCTCTCTGCTTCCTAAAATTTTAGTGTTAACATGAGGCCAGTGGAAGAAACCAGATATACAAGGTCCCTCATTGTAGGACTCCATGTATAGGATATATCCAGAATAGGTAAATCCCTAAAAACAGAGAGTAGATCGGTGTTTTCCAGGGGCTGGAGGGAGGGGAGCAGGGGAGGTGTGTGGTTTTATTCTGGGGTGAAGAAATGTTTGGGAGCCAGACAGGAAAGGAGTTGGCATAGCATTGTGAATGTACCAAATGTCATCGAATTATTCACTTTAACAGTGCTTAATGTGTGTTGTATGAATTTTGCCTCCATTTAAATATATAAGAAAAGGGGGAGGTTCATAAGCAAAAGTGTGTATTTCTGGAGACCGAGAGCCCTGTATGTGCGTGATCTGAATCAGCCGGGTGCCCTGCATTTTTTTTTTTTTTAATAAGGTACCATTCACAGGTCCTGGGGATCAGGATGATACATTTGGGGGCTATTCTCTGGCCTAGCACAGCGTGGCTGGCTTCCTTTGTTTGGGAATGCAGGAAGCATCTCAGATGAGCTTTCCTCTCTTCTGCTTGACTGACCGATGGTTCTAGACCAGCAAGTGCACTCTGATCCCAGACAGTTGGTGTTTAAAAGGACTACAAGCTAACTCTCCAGTCATCAGCTTGCCTTACTGGAGACCTTTGTGGGGTAAAATCCTGGACCAAGAATGCAGGATTGTATCCACTTAGCTGGGCTCTGCAGATGCTGTCCTGTGTGGATGCTCATCTGATACACTCTGATGGATCCAGAATGGCAGGTGGCTATGGGCTGGTGACCAATTTGCCCGCACATGCCAGGATGAACAGATGAGCAGCTGTGACTCCAGATGCTCCAGTGGGATTCAGGAGGGACGCCTATATAGCCTTACTCCAACCTCCAGAACAGAGTGAAACATTCTAGGGTTTTTAGAGCTCCGGGGAGGAGGTGGCTAAGTAGGAACACCCACTTTTTCCTCCTAGCCCTGCCACAGTTTCCTTGTCTGTGTTCCATTCCTGATGCTTGTTTCCTGGGGATACTCTGAGTAGCCATGACTCAGAAATACCTACATCAGCCTCAGAGATTGGAGGGGATTGAGAGTGGGCCTGTGTTTTATTGAGGCCCTGCTCATCACACCAGGCTTGTCTGGGAGTTAGTCTCAGTGAGGATGGAGCTCTTCCCATGATTTCTCATGAAACCTACCTGGTAGGAAGCAGGAGGGCAGGCCACCACTGGGAGTGGGGAAGCTGGCCAGCCAGGTGTGAGGCCCCAGGGCCACCCTTTCTCATCCATCAGGCCTTCCTTTTTGGAGTGTTTTAGGTCTGCCCTTGTTGAGATGGGAACCCTGAGGGGAGCTCCCCTGCAGACAGAATCCTGGGGCCCTGCAGTTGGTCTCCTCGGCCCTGAGTCCCACCTGTAAGGGTGCCGGGCACACGGGGCTGGCTGGCTTCTAACAAGGGTCCTCACTGCCCCCCCCATCCCACCTGGGCCGTGGGTTTCCTGCACGCCCAGCCCACCAGCATCTATGTCCAGAGCACCTGCATGAGGGCCCCTGGGGGCTCACCTTTGCCAGGGAACTCTGGAATTCCTATTTCTTTATCTGTCAGTGGGCACCCTATGGATTCACCTCACAGAACTGTGTGCTTGAGATAAAGCCGTGAACCACTTAGCAAGTTACAGAGTGGAGTCACTCTGTGTCTGATAAACCAGCGCCCTGAGCCGGTGCTGCTGGCTGCCGCCCTAAGTGACCCCTTGGGCCTGGTTCCCCAGAAGAGCCGCCCCTCTGCCTCACCCGAGACCAGGTTAGCTTCTGACACCTGCTGCTCAGGGCTCAGCCTGCGTCAGGATGGGGAACCCCCCCCACAACTCCTCAGAATATGCAGCCGTGGAAGGATCACCTGGGGGCGCTCCGGCACGACCTGCTGGCCTCAGACGCTGCCCGGGTCCCCACGAGAGGGAGTCCCCACAAGAGGGGGGCCCCGGGCCTCGCGCAGACCTCCGCCAGAGACAGGACCGGGTCCTCCGCTCTCCGAGGCGCGCCGCGTCCACACGGCCTCTTGCCCGGGCACAGGTGCGGACGCGTCCACGTGGGTCCCTGGCTCTGGAGGAGCAGCCTCGCCAGGCAGGTACTTGCTAACCCGGGCCCGGCGTTTGGGCGGAGCAACGTCGCCGCCGCGCCCCCAACCCCTGACCCCTCCCTGGGCTCCCGGTGCGCTCTAGGACCCAGCGCGGGTCGGTCCGCCGCCAGGGTGGGCGGGGCTCCTGCATTGTGACGTCACAAAGAGGCGGGGTTACGGCGCTGGGACGGACAGACGGACGGAGGACGCAGGACAGACCGGGCGGGGCCGGCGCGGGCGTGGGCGCGGCGGGTAAGGGCTGGGGCTCCGATCCGCAGGCCGCGTGAAGACGCGGACGGAACGCGGGGCTCGGGGCTCGGGATGCTGCGCGGGCGGCGGGTCCCAGGACCGAGCCCCTCGGAGCCCCCGGCCGTGCGTCCCACCCCCGGAGCAGCCAACCTCCCTTCGTACAGAGCGCGCTCTCCCCAGACTGAGCATGCTCGCCCCGGACTGAGCGTGCTCCGCCCCATCCCGGCCAAGTACTCCCTCCCGGGCCGAGCCACCCCCCCCCCAGAATGAGCGTGCCCCAGGTCCGCCTCCCGCGTCCCCAGCCGTGCGCCCCGCACCTCTGTTCTCCCGTGGGTGCGGGTTCGCGCGCGGAGGGCTCCCTGGGGCGCCAGTGTCTGAGGGGCGGGTCGTGCCCTAGCCGTGAGCCCCCGCGGTGTCCCGGGAGCGCGACCCTCACTGTGCCGCGAGGCCCCTGCTGCGGAGTTCTTACCTCTTCTCCTCTCCCGCCAGGCTCAGGCTCCGATGGTGGAGGGTCGCACCGGGCGGCAGCGGCAATGTGGGGGTGACCGTCAGCGCGCGTTCCAGGAGCCCGTGAGAGCAGAGGGGACCTGGGCCAGGTGGACGTCTGTTGGCTGGCGGGGCGACGCAGGTGTTCGGAATGGAAGCAGAAGGCTTGGATTGGCTTTTGGTCCCCTTGCACCAGCTGGTTTCCTGGGGGGCAGCTGGGGCCATGGTCTTCGGAGGGGTGGTGCCGTATATCCCCCAGTACAGGGACATCCGGAGGACTCAGAATGCAGAGGGCTTCTCTACCTACGTGTGTCTGGTGCTCCTGGTGGCTAATATTTTACGGATCCTCTTCTGGTAAGTTGGGGGCTTTCTATGGGGTGTTTCCAGAAAGAGAAAGAGATGGCTTTCTCTTTTTGGGGTTTCGGAGTGGGGTGGTGGCGGCGGCAGGAGCTGGTGAACGCTTGAGATTATTTCCCACGGAAAATGGGATTGGAGTGGAGACTCTTACCTGTAATCTTCATTTCGTGTCACTTATACATCATCAGATATTTTCCCACAGACGTCTGGGTGCTGGGCAAGGTCCTTGGACTGGGTCCCTGCCCTCAGAATTTGCATGGGAGCAGGAGAGAGAAAACAGGGACTGGAGAAGTAATTAAGAGTAACAGAAAATGATGAGCTGTAGGAAGGGCACTCTGCGGACCACTGAGCCCCTTAGGAGGGGACATCAGAGCCTGGCAGGAAAGAGTGCTTAGGAGCCCTGTGCAGGGAAGGCCGTCCCCTCAGCCTTCTCTGGTGTGTGTACAGTTTTTCTTGCCACTCCCAGCCCAGCTTCCTCTTATTATCATTTGCATTCTGGTAAGGAAGTTGAAATTAATTTTAATAGTTGCTAAAGCCAGGCATGTTTGGGAGGGGACATTTTTAGCGGAAATGAAATGATGTCTTATAACCTCATTCTTTTTTTTTTTTTTTTTAAGAGAGAGAGGGAGAGGAGGGGGGTGGAGGGAGAATCTTAAGCAGTCTCCAGGCCCAGCGCAGAACTCGATGTGGGGCTTGATCTCACAACCCTGAGATCATGACCTGAGCTCAGTCAGATCCTTAACAGACTGAGCCACCCAGGTACCCCATTATAGCCTCATTCTGAGACCAAAGAGGTCTGGAACTTTCCTTTCTTCTTGACAGTCCCAGACCCTCTGTCAGCACAGATAGTGAGGAAGGTTGCTCAGGAGGGCAGCTGAGTGCAGAGGTGGGACAAGGGCTCCAGGCAGTTGGTGTCCACAGCTCTGCTTCTGGCTCCTCCTTTTGGCTTTTTGGTCACTGACTGACCATGTTTTTTGCTAATTCATTTTTAAGTCAACCTTATTAAGGTATGGTTTACATTAAATGAAATTGCCTATCGTAAATGCACAGTTTGATGAGTTTTGACAACGTCCCCTTGCCATCACCATCACAACCGAGATAGGAATTTTCTGAGCCCAGAAGTTTGCTCTGTTCTTTGTGTTCCATCCAGCAGTGCCAGGCCCCGGGCAACCTTTGATTTATTTTCACTGTGTGGTAGTTTTGCCCTTGTCTGGGGCTTTTAAAAGGTGAGCTGGTAAGTCAGCCCCTCCCAGGGGAATTTGTCACATCACCAGGTTTGTCTCTGGGCTAGGCTACTTTGGAAGGAGGGGTCATGGGTGCTTATTTGTTTCTTTGGCGCAAGTTGAAAACCCACATTTTAAAGATCCCTCCTTTTCCTTTGACTGGGGGCAGAGATCACTCGCTTCAGGGTGACATGTGGCTTCTTTTTCTAAAATGGCTTTAAGGTTGAACAGAAGCAGGTCCTGAAATATAATTGTATCTGACACCGTTGTTAATTCTGAGTGCACTGGAGGGGCGTTCAGGGGTCTCCCAGGCTTAGGCTGTGGAATAAGTTTTCTCTCACAGTGGAGGGGAGGTGCCTGACATTGGCTTGCCTTATGGGAAAAAAGATCAGCTGGGAGGTCTCTTCCTTAAGTATGGTTATTCTTCACAATCACAAAAAGAGGCTAGAATAGCTAATCTACATCCAAATATCTGGTTTGGTGAAGTCAGAAATTAAACTAATTTCTTGAATGTCAAGTCTCAGGGCCTCTGGATTTAACTGGCATTTGCACTAGGAGTCCTCTCTTCACTGCAGGGCCTGAGACTTTGAGAAAGAGTCTGGAGCTTTCTCCTAATGCAGCACAGAGTGGCCTTTTGTGGGATTCGAAACTTCATCCATTGGCGAGTCTGTTTCTATACATCCAGTTCATCCTTTCCCAGAGTCAGCACCCTGAGCTGTCCTGGGTCACTTGAGGGGTTCTGTGGCGACTTCAGCCAGTATTCCAGGAGACTGCAACAATGTGTGGGATGAAGGGAGGGCTGGCAGAGGGCACTGGTCCCTCCTCAAGAGTGTCTCTGGCCTAGAGGTGTGCTTTTCCTGCATTTCACACAGGGTAGTACTTGGGGTTCACATGTGAAGCCCAGCAGACAGGCTGAGCTCCGTCTAGGACTTAAAAGTAATGTGTGCCTCTCTGCCCACCTAGTCCTAGGTCCCACTCCTCTGAGGGTGATGCAGATCTTCCCTTTTATTTCTTATCTGGAGCCTTTTAAGCCCCCATTCCTGGGTCCTCCTCCAGACTTCATAGGTTAGCAGCCCATATGATTTAATAGGTGTTTGAGTGTTTCCCGTGTTCCAGACACTGGTCTAGATGCTGTGGGGTTTACACTTTAGCAGAAGCATTGTTTGGAATGTGCCATGTACACATATATGGGTTATGGCAGGCTCCAGGTGAGATGGAAGGTGGGTCTACACAAGAACAGTGGTGGAGTTAGAACTGAAGAGTGTGTTTCCCAAAGCTGGCCGAGACCACAGTTCTCAGAGCTCCAGTCTGGGAAGTCCCCTGTGGATTTGTGGTGTGAGGCTTGTGAGTGGCTCTGCAGTTCTGTAGGAGGGGCCAACTGAGCTGCGTAAACCCTGGGTTTCTGATAACTTGTGGAACTCTAATGCCTTTATTTCTTTTTAAAAAATTTTAAAATTTAGGGGCGCCTGGGTGGCTCAGTCAGTTAAGCATCTGCCTTCAGCTCAGGTCATGATCATGGGGTCCTGGGATTGAGCCCCGCATCCGGCTCCCTGCTCAGTGGCGAGCCTGCTTCTCCCTCTCCCTCTGCCTGCCACTCTGCGTACTTGTGCTCTCTCTCTCTCGCTCTCTCTAATGAATAAATAAAATCTTTAAAAAATAAAAACATGAAAAACAAATAAAAAGATAAAAATTTTAAAATTTTAAAAAATTTTAAAACTTTTTAAAAAAGATTTTATTTATTTGTCAGAGAGTGAGTGAGCACAAGCAGGGCCAGTGGCAGGCAGAGGGAGAAGCAGGCTCCCCACTGAGCAGGGAGCCTGATGTGGGACTTGATCCTAGGACCCTGGGATCATGACCTGAGCCGAAGGCAGATGCTTAACCAGCTGAGCCACCCAGGTGCCCCTCTAGTGCCTTTATTTCTTACAATTCTTATCATCCTTTTGCAAAACTAGCATTCAGCAGATTCTGTAAAGTGCTGATGGATGGTATTTTGCCTCAGAAGAGTGGCGTCAGGAAAAGCCAGGAGAAGGGCTAAATGAGGCCTCATAACTAATAATTGCAGACTTGTGATTTTGTAGAGAAGGGGAAGGAGGCCAGGGTGCACAGATGGTATTGCAAGACCTTCCAGCTGAGAGCCTTGTGCATTCATAGAGATGGTTCTCAAGCTCCATTAATATTGGATGAAAACACTGTATCAGAGAGATGGTAATGTTGTATGAGATATTTAATAGCATTGTATCAGAGATGCAGTGACATTGTATCAGAAATAAGGGAACACTATCAGATGTGGCAACACCATGTCAGAGATGTAGTAACACCGTATCAGATATGGTAACATTATATCATAGATATGGTATCATCCTATCAGAGATGTAGTAAGCATTATAACTGAGATGTGCTCACATTGTATCAGAGATGTGGTAACCTTGTGTCAGATGTAGTGATGCTCTATCAGAGATGTAGCAACATTGTATCAGAGATACAGTAACACTGTATTTAGAAATGTGCTCACATTGTATCAGAGATGTTTAAAAAAAATTTTTTTTGTATCAGAGATGTTTAAAAAAAATTTTTTTTTAAAGATTTTATTCATTCTTCGAGACACAGAGATACAGAGAGAGAGAGAGCACGAGCAGGGGGAGAGGCAGAGGGAGAAGCAGGCTCCCCACTGAGCCAGGAGCCGGACATGGGGCTCAATCCCAGGACCCTGGGATCATGATCCGAGCCGAAGGCATACGCCCAACCATCTGAGCCACCCAGGCACCCCACGTTGTATCAGAGATGTAACACTGCCGGGCACATAGTAACATTCAGCTAAGGGTATAGAAGACAGTCTGACACAGGGATATGTATCTACACAAGTAGATACACAACTTCTCTCTACTTGAGCTTTTCTGTTACTTTGAGGACATGAGAAGGTGTTCCCTGTAGAAACTTTTGTTCAAACTTGGTGAAACATTGCATATCCTCTGCGATGTGTATCTTCCTAGGGGGAGAGACGGGCCCTTTTAGACTGGCTTGTCTGCACAGCAGGCCCTTCACTTGTCTGGTGGGCTGTTCCATCATTTGCCCTAATAAGAGGTTGTGCCAATGCACATTCTCAGGGACAGGAGAGGAGAAAGTGCTGACTTCTCTGTCAGTTTAGATGATTAGCTTTAAAAGAAGAAAAAGCTTAACCAATTTGATAAGTAAAAAATGGTATCTTTCTATTTTAATTAGCTTTTAAAAGGGCGCCTGGGTGGTTCAGATGGTTAGGCGTCTGCCTTCGGCTCAGGTCATGATCCCAGAGTCCTGGGATCGAGTCCCACATCGGGCTCTCTGCTCAGCGGAGAGCCTGCTTCTCCCTCTGCTTCTCTCTCTCTCTCTCTCTCTCTCTGTCTCTCATGAATAAATAAATAAAATCTTTAAAAAAAAGTTACTAATGACCTTGAACCTTGTTTCATATTTACTTTGTCTCTTGTTTATTGTTTGTGGAAAGTGTTGCTTTTTGAAATTTTGTATGTCGCTTAGCCTGTCTTTCTAAAATCAGTTAAATATTCACCTTTGCTCCCTCTCACTTCAGTTTAAATGGTCTTGTTTTTATTGTAAATACTGAATTCATTTGGATTCAGTTTTGGGGGTATGGTTTAAGGGGAAGTGCAAACCTTGATTTCTTTGCCCACAAGTTTTTCTAGTCACTGTTTCTGTTGAGAATTTAAAAAACAAAAGTGGCCTTTCTCACCTAATGGCCATAATTGCACATCTTCAGCCTAATAACTGGAAATTAGCTGTATGAGGAGCCCCAGAGTACCTTATTTTATTGTGATTCTTCCCAGCCTGCTCAGGAAGGAAGCATTTCCAGTCTCGTTAGGCTGACATTGAACTTTTGCTGTCCCCTTTCTGACCTTCACCTATAGATGAGTTGACCCCCTGGGGTCAGCTAGGTAACCAGTGGGATCCAGTTCTTAGAAATGACTAGCAATGTCCTTAAATAGCCTTCAGGGTTATAGCTGCACTTTACAGAAGAGAGGAGGCCCAGAGGCAGTGGGTCACAGGTGCGAGGGCCCTGGAGCCAGCCTGTGGCAGAGTCCTTAAGCACCCCCAGTACCCCCAGTCTGTGCCGCTGGCTCAGAAAGCCCCAGGGCACCATCACCTCTTTCTTGCTGCACCTTCTGTTCACTCAGATCTGGCTCATCAGCCCTTTCTTGTTCCAACCATTTAGCCTTTCAGCTCCTCTCCTGAAGGAGAGGCCCAGATGAAGTAGCAGGATCCCAGGTGAGCCCAGGTGACATTTCCTGGGGAGGCGGGAGGAATCTGGTGATCATGGAGCTGTCTGCTGTCTGTGTCCTGGTCCTTCTGCCCTTCCTGGGCCCAAGTGGTACGGGCCTGAGCCTCTGTGACCTCAGGCCTGCTCTGTCCTTTGCTCAGAGGACACAGGCCGGGCCTTGACCTCAGAAACCAGTGCAGAACACTGGTCCTGAACTGGTCTTGGTCCCCCACTCCCCAGGGAGTATCTGGCTTTTTCTGGTTGCTTGACCTTCTGTGGGATCTCACCTGGATGCGACTCCCCTCCAGGTGGCACATTCTCACCTGCTGGGCCAGCTCACCCTGGCCAGGGCAAACCCTCGTCAGAGGTGCTGTTGCTCCTGCCCAGCGGATGTGCGGAGTTCTCTGGAGAGGCTCAGGTTGGTTAGAACTCTGGCAGGGCGGTGCGTTCACAAACTCGGGCTTGAAGACGCTGACTCGGTGCTGGAGCAGTTGTGAGCATCGTTTTTCTCTGTGAAGGAACATCATTTTTTCTTTACTGTGTAGGTAGATTTTCTTACTGTGTAGGGACACCTTTCAAAGACATGCTCCTTGGCTGGGAGAGTAGGCCGCATCTAATCTTGTCCTTCACAACAAAGCCTGGCTGCTGAGTTTTTGTCTTGATTTCTCATTGATTTGGTGTTGGCAGGTGCTGGGGTGCCCAAGCCCACACCCCATCAGGAGCTCTGCCGCAGCTTGGTGTCGTGGGTGTGCTCCTGCCGAGCTTCAGTGGTCAGCTCTCAGTGACCGGAGTCCCTCTGTGGGGGCGAGCAGTGTGTAGACTCAGGCCAGAGTGGGTGAGAGGGAGGTGGGGAGGGGGGCCGGGTGGTTTTCTCTGTATCTTCTTTTCAGGAGCAGCTGGGAAATCCAACTGCCATGCAGGGTCTCTTGACTTGATGTATTGACTACCAGCTCAAGTTTTGGAGATACCCTTCAGGCCACATTGCAGCCAGACCTAGTGGGATTCCTGCTCCACAATAGCCAGGCTAAAATCGGGATTGGGGCTTTAAAGGGTGCCGTGTCCAGGCCTAGCCTTAGAGATGGGCCTGGGTCAGCAGTGATTCTCGTGGCCATGGCAGAGACCCCTAGCTGGTGCATGAAGAGCAGTGCTCCTGTTCTCAGACCCTGGGGTTTGGGGTCTGCTGCTGGGCCGAGCTTGTGCTGGTCACTAGACTGTGGTTCTCACCTCCAGGAGCTTATGGCTCAGTTGGTGAGATACTTCACCACCAGAAAAACATCAACAGGAAGGGCATGAGTGCTGGGCAGGGTTGGGGGCTTAGAGAAGAGTGGGCAGCAAGGCCTGGGTGGGGAGGGAGATCGACAGCAGGCAGAGAGGCCTGGGCCGGGGTCAGGGCCTCAGGTTGGGAGTGGGAGGTTGTGCCCTCAGCTGCCTTCTCTTCGCTGGTGGGGGGTGCCCTGGCCCCCTGCTGGTCTGCTCGCGCCGTGGGCTGTTCTGGCCCACTGACCCCACTCAGCCCAGGCAGGAGGCAGGACATCCTGTCATTCCTGGACTCTGGTGTGAGTCTTCCCGGGGAATCAGGTGGTCTAGAAACTGTGGACTTCTTGCCTGGTGGTGGCTGGGGCCTCTGTCGGCAGGGCGCCTGGCTGTGCGGTGGAGGAACACAGGAGGCCCACTCACACCCCATCTGCGGTTCCTGGGGAGGGGAGTGTGGTTTTTGAGAAGCCCTGCATGTGATTCTAGAGGTGCCCCTGCAGAGGGGGTGTTGTGGTCCCTGGTCCCTCTGTCCTGGAGTGCTCCCAGCCCCTGCCCACCCAGCTCTGTCTCCCTGTGGAGCCTGGAGGCCCAGGTGCTCAGGGCCTAGCCCGTGATGGATGTGAGAGACTATCTGGGGCCACTCAGGAGGTGGCCATGGGGGCCTTGGTTGGGACCTGCGCAGGGAGAGGCGGTGAGGCCCCTGGTGCCCGGGGGCCCTCCTGATGCCGTGGTCTCTTTACCTCCCCAGGTTTGGAAGGCATTTTGAGTCACCGCTCCTCTGGCAGAGCATAGTCATGATCTTGACCATGTTACTGATGTTGAAGCTCTGCACTGAAGTCCGCGTGACAAATGAGCTGAACGTAAAACGCCGTTTCTTTGCAGGTTGGTGATCTGCAACTTTGGGAATAAAGCACTCAGTCAACAAGCAAAACTCCTCCTGCGTTCATGGGTGAAGTAAGAGCTGCTCTGGTGTTACCTGAGTAGCTCTCGTTTCACCAAATGCACAGTTATGTGTAACTGACATTCGTGTTTCCAGTGTGCTGAATGTTTATTTAAAATGGAATAATCTCTTCCCTGAAATTTGGGCAAGTTATGAACTAATCCTGATGTGCTCCTGTCCACTGTGATTGTTACATGGATTCTGAGTTGGGGTAGGAGGTGTGTGTCTGTTGGTGTCTTTTTTCGCACAAATAGGTCCCAGAAGGCAGTTTTCTGTGTGTGTGTGGCTGGTACATAAAACATTCCCTTTCAGTTACCATTTAGCTGAGGCTGAGTTAACTGGGATCTCCCTCACGTACCCTGTTAAACATTCACCCAAAGTCCTGCTCTTGTGGGGCCGGTGGGTTGTCACCTGGAGCCTGTGGGGTCTGCACGCTTGGGCGGGACCAATTACACAGTCAGCCGTGCTGCTCCGTGACTCTGTGGCTCAGAAAATAGAAAATACTTCTTGTTTTTGCCTTTTGCTTTGACAAAGCTCCTTCTGGGCTGATGTTTATGTTTGAACACACAGGAGGGTTAATGCCTCACTTCTGGTTTTCTTCTAGTTACTAAATAGAAGACAGCTCTCACTCTGATTTTGACTGAAGTGGTGTGTGTGATCTCAGCTGTTGCTTAGAGAAGCATTTTTGCTGGAGTGTGTTTAGTTCTGGGGCTCCTGTGCACTTGAGGTCTTGCTCCTGTATTTTCATTCCTGGTGGTTATTTTCTTTCTGTTGGAGCAGATCCTTTCCCCTGTGTAGCTTCTGTTTTTAGAGATGAAGGTATGCCAGTTTCAGTCTTTGTAGAAAATAGGTCAGCCTCCAGCTCTGGTGGGTGGCCTGGACCAGTTCATGTCACTTTCGGTCAAGTGACCACCACGGTCTGCTTCTGCGGCAGTTTTGTTCTTTCTCCCCCATTAATCCCTCCTCTGCGATCTGTTCTCTGGTCTCGCTGCTGATGGTGCTGGTCCGACTGCTGGTCTCGCCTTGAGAGCAGGGCTTCTCCGCCCCCCCAGCCCTTAGGAGGTGAGGGGCTGGCACGGCTTCTGCCCTTCTCTCTGTGGTCTGCGAACCTCACCTTCAGTGTGGCCCAGGGTCTGCGCCCGCTCCAGCAGGGGTGGTGTGGGGCTTGGTCAGTAGTGTTTCTGCCCCCCCAGGGAAGGACGAAAGGCAGGAGAAGTAGACACTTGGTGCCCACGGCTGCTCGGTGTTCCTCTGCCTCAGGCTCTGAAACGTGAGACCAGGTGTCATGATCTTGTTGGAAATAGTGTGAGCGGTGCTGAGGGGATGCCAGATAGAGTGGGGGTGTGGGCCTCCAGGCCAGGGAGCAGTCCTAGAGTCTAACCTTCCTGTGACCTGGTTGAAAGGCCGTTCGCTGCCCGCACCTGCTGTCTGCCTTCTTGGAGTCTCACCGGCAGGTCGCCAGGAGGCACAGGTGAGCATGAGGGCAGGGGCAGACCTCGTGAGCAGGGAGCGGGGCCTCTTCCGGCAGCTCTTGGTGCCACAGTTTTCTCTCATTCCGTCTTGACAGCTAGTGTCGTATATAAATTCTTCCACAAGGACTATTTCTAATTCTGGTTAACTAGGATGGATTGAGTTAAAATAGTGAATCCCAATTTCCAGGGATAGGGCTGCAATCTGAATGTTAACAAGGGACCCTCTCTGCGATGAGCAGATGAACGGAGTCCATGTACATCCACACCTGGGAACCTGTGAGGTGCCACGTCACGTGGTACGGGGCCTGCAGTGGTGGAGGAGCGCTGAGGCCTCCAGTGGGGTTGTCCCGGACTGTCTGGGTGGACCTGATGTCGGCACAGGCCCTTAGAGGGCAAGAGGAGAGAGGAGACTGCCAGGGATGGACTTGAGGAAGAAGTGGTTCTGGCTTCGGATGTGGGGGAAGGGGCGGGAGCCAGAAGCACAGCAGGCTCTTGAGGCTGGAACGGCCCTCATCTTCCAGCTGGCAACGACACGGGGACCTCAGCCTCAGGGACATACAGAAAACAGAAGTGAAACAACAGACACAAATCCACACACATCAAAATAGCATTAAATGTCAATGAATTAAACAACCCAAATCAGAGGGCATAATTGCCAGAATTAATTTTTTTAAGATCCACTACATGCTGTCTACAGGAAACACACGCTCAGGTCGTGATGCCGGGGTCCTGCGATCCAGCCCCGCGTCCGGCTCCCTGCTCTGCAGGCAGCCTGCCACTCCCTCTGCCCCTGCCCCGCCCCCCACAGGGCTGCGGTGGGCTTTGACCTTGCCTCTTGGAACGGCAGCCCCCCAGACCTGTCCCTGCCTGGCTGGCCTGCTCTCTGCAGTATGGCTCTGGTGGGGGATGGAGGACTGTGCCTCATGACCCCTGGGCTCCCTGCTGGGCCCCCAGACAGCCTCAGATGGAGAACCCACCCCTAAACTCCGCCTGCCGGAACACAGCTAGATGTGTTGGACAATTCTTGAGATTCATACTTAATTCTTGAATCCATTTAGATTTACATATTTTTGTGTCTCCTATGTATGAGATGCACGGCATACTACTAAGGGAAGCTTTTTAATGAAACGTGTTTTTTTTTCCTGTCTTCTGCTAGAAGTGGGAGGGTGGGGGATGAAAACTGACCAGTTCCAGCTGGAAGCTCTGAGGTCACGTGACGGCGGTGCCCTGGGCCTCCCTGTGGAAGGCTGGCAGCCCCCGCTTCCTGGCGGTTTTCTGCTGGGGTGTTGGGGAGGTTGCCTGGGGCAGGCTGACCATGCACACTTTGAAATACTTTATGAAGGAAATCTTTAATACATATTTCAGCGTTCTGATGGGATAGCCTAAAAAAATGATAAAAGTTTAAATGTTTTACAACTGTCTTTTATAGAGTTTTTTTTTAATTTTGAAGGTGCCAGTTCAGCTTGGAAGTTAAGATTAAAGAAATAAATGGAATCAAAGGAGAAAAAGCTGGTTACTTACAAAATTAAATGTGTAATTTCTTATCTGATTATAAAGAGCCGTATATGCTCATTGTCGACATTTTGGGGAAGAGAGAGGAATATAAAGTAAAGGCAAGTAGCGTCCCATCCAGCTGCCAGAGGTGATGTCTGTGGACACTGGAGACGCTTTTGAAGTCTGTCTCCTATCACAAAATTGGGATTATTTCAAAACGAGGCTCAAATTTTTAAAAATGTCTCCTTCCACTGGGGGCTCTTTCTGTGCCCTTGTTCATACACCGTGGAGGTTGGGCTGCGGTGTGGGTCCCAGAGGTGGCTTCTGCCTCCAAGGGTGGCCCGGCTCACGTGTTCCAGGAAGAAATCTTCTGGAGAAGCTTCTGTGTACCCACCATATAACTACCAAGTGGGAGTGGAGTTTGATATGTCTTGTGTGTGCTGCGTTTTTCCTTTTCACCTGTCATGTTTTATTGGGGAGAACTTAACATACACGGGATCGGGGAGAGTGTACACGCTCCCCGTGTAATCATGCCCACCTCCAACTGCTCCCCTAGATCCTGGTCACTTCGCCTGCCTGCAGTTTTTGAAGCAAATTCCAGATATACTCTGTTTGTAAATAGTTCATAATGTATCTCTAAAAGAGAAGGACTTTATCAGCCATAAAAAATGAGTTCCTTAATTATCAAATACAGAGTTGATGTGTAAGTTTCTAGCTGCCTCATCACTTCCTCATTTCTGGCTGCTTTATCTCCTCGAGCCAGGGTCCCGTTATAGGCTGCACAGTGTGATCAGCTGATTTTTTTTTTTTTTTTAAGATTTTTTTTTTTAATTTGTTTGAGAGAGAGAATGAGTGGGAGGGGCAGAGGGAGAGGGACAAGCAGGCTCGATGTGGGGCTTGATCCCAGGACCCTGGGATCATGACCTGAGCCAAAGAAAGCAGATGCTTAACGACTGAGCCACCCAGGCACCTGCTGATTGTCTTTCTAATCTACAGATTCTCCCTAACTCCCCTCGCTCCGTGGAGCTTGTCCGCTGTTACAACAGGTAGCTCGCTGTGCGCACTTGTGTGTGCTGCACACCCAGCGCTCTGTTGGTGGGCAAACAGCCCAGGAGTGTGCGGGGAATGCAGAATTGAGACCTAAGCCACATCTGCATGTGGACAAGATCCCTGCTACTGCAGGGGACATTTGAGAAGCCCTTCACGGAGGTGGTCCCAGCCTGGCTTCTCCTGGTCACACCCCGTGGTGGTCCGTCACGTCTTCCTCTCTCTGGTGTGCCCCTGTGAAAGAAGATTGGAAAAAGATCAGTGGATCCAGGTGTCTGGTCAAATGTAGGTTTGGTTCTCTTTATTTTTTGCTGGACTGTTGTGTTCTTCCACGAGGACGCCCGTATTGTCGGCTTGTCTCTTTTTGGATGTTAGTAGTGGTGGGTGCCCAGTGCCTAGACCTGTTGGTTGTGAGGCTGCAGAGCATTGATATTCTGTCTGTCTTTGCTCACCTGTTGGCTGGAGGGTTTCTCTGAAGAGAAACTTGCCCTGTAAATGCTATTCAGTTATCCAGTTATATAATTTATAAATTAAAGGCAGATAATTGCTTCTTTCTCTTTATTTGCCGGTCTTCAAAATTGGTTCCCTGGCATCTTGCAACAGTGATCACGTTGTTTTTCTATTGTGAGTATATGGATTTATTTGATGTGTTTCTCTTGGTTGCCATTATTATATTTGTTGAAGGCCCTGTTGACTCCTGTCTGCCAGTGGGAGCCTCTTCAGTTGGCTCCTGACTTTTTGGCACAGACGAGTGGCCCCTAGACCCCTGATCTTGGTGTGATAAGATCGTCTTCTTTTTCTGCCCCAGACCTGGAGTCGGCCATTTCTCCAAGGAGCCCTTGTGGTACGTGGGTGTGGTGTTTGGAGACCACACTCTGGTCACTGGGACAGCTGTGGGATTGGGGGTTGTTCTTGGCTTTTTCAGTGGTGACTCTACAGACCCTTCAGTTGTGTCTCGGATCTTCCACGGGCTTCTCAAGGACCCAAGAATGAAAGAATGGCAGGACTTGCTTCCCCCTCTGCTTGCAGTGGTCTCCGTAAGGAGCCTCTTGGAGCACTGTTTTCTTGGGGGTCTTAGGACGATCCATTCTTACCATCAATGACTTTGTTCAGAGTCACTGGGAATAGTGGCTCCTTATGGGTAGGCACCCACAGCGGACTTATTTGTTCCTTTTTATTCAAGAAACAACATTGTCTGTGGCTCAAAGTCAGGTGGTTGCCTTCATTTGACTTTGCCCCAAATCTCAGCACTCCAAGCTCCAGCATGGAATTGGCTGTGGAGGGGGGTGGGGGAAGAGGGAGTGCCTGCTAACGGGGACAGGGTTCCTGTGTAGGTGATGAAAGTGTTCTAAAATTAGACTGGCTGCATTTGTGCAACTCTGGGAACATGCTACAACCCAGGCACTTCATGGTGAACTTTTATTACAGGCAGTTCTGTCTCGATAAAACTGTAAAAAATGTTGGATGGGGAGGGTCACATACCATTCTGCGAATGAAAGCTGAGGCCCCCCACACACACCCCAACCTGGAAGATGTTTATCTATAAACCATTCTGCATTTTTAAGGGTTAATCAGTGTCCTTGGACACCGGTTACGAATCCTGTATCTGCCCTGCCCACAGCCCTCACTCTGATGGCTGTCTTGTGTCCATTTTGCCAGGACCTCCTCCTGGCCCCCTGATCTCCGGGTCGTCCTGTATGTGTAACCATCACCCCTCCACGTCCCTCACTCTCTGTTCCTCCCAGCTGGTCTCTCCACATGCCTGTAGCAGTGGGTCTCACACCGTGACGAGGACCAGAAGCCCCGGAAACTGCTGATGGTCTGGCTCTTGTCAGGTCCCCAGCCTTCCCTCCTGCTGTCCCCAAGCTGCCCTCTGACATTCAGGACAGCCAGTTCTCCTGTCTGAGCTCAGGCCAGAACTTCTGTCATGCTCTGTCCCAGGCTCTGTGGCTGCTCGACAGGTAACCCCAAAACTTGGTGCCTTGGGTCTCTTTCACTCTCCCTCCTTTGCTCTCACTTGCTCACGTGTCTGGGGAGTCTGCTGGGACAGCCTCACGTGGCCTCCTCACGTGGCCTAAGCTCCCTTAAGGCATCCAGGTTTCAAGGGGCGTGTCTGAGAGAGAACCAGGTGGGAGCTGTGTCTTTCTTCTGATCTGGTCTTGGGGATCATGCAGCATCACCTCTGCAGACCGGGGTGATCACAGTCCCCGGGAATCAAGGGTTGTGAACACAGAGCCGTGTCCAGTGGGGAGTGGTGAGGCTCTGACGTGAATGTGGACACGTGGCTGAGGCTGGTTCTAAACCTCAGCGCCTAGCCTGGACCACGTGTTCAGCATGGACGTGTGTTCCTAAGTGGGCTCTCAGCTTCTCACCCCCAGTCTGTCCTGCGCAGAGATGTTTCTCTGCTTTCTAGCAGGAAACCTTAGGTGGCTTGATGCTGTCCTTGGGAAAGGGTCTGACAGGGACTTGAGTCTCCCTACCCCGACCCGCACCTCCCTGCCAGCTGCTGCTTTTCCTGGAGAGCCCCATGTGCCACTTTTTCTCACTCCAGGGGCCTCACCCTGACCTCGCCCTGCTAGCTGGCGTGCTTCCAAGCTCTGCTTGTCTGCTGGGCATGATCAGGCCTGAGACGAGAGGGGAGACAGTGTATGGGTGTCTGACCTGCTCCCGGAGCCAAGTCGAGCAGTCTGTCCTGCGAGCAGTCTATCCTGCATCCCCTTCATCCCCTCCCCCTTCCACTTTGGGACCTGATCTTTAGCAGAAGTGTCAGTGAGCAGTGAAATTGGTCCCAAGCAAGAAATAGAAGCAAAAAGCTGCGGAAATCCGGCTGAGCCTGGGTATTCAAGCCCAGTGGGTCCAGGAGGGGGAGCTGGGGAGGGGCTGGGTGAGGAGATGAGGCCTTGCTGCTCGCTTGCTGGTGCTGCTGGCTCAGGGAGCCCTCACGTGGGCCAGGCGGCCACTCCTCGGAAGCAGGGTCTGTGGGCATCTGCTGTCCCCAAGCACGGAGCCAGTCTGGTGTTTTCATTTAGCTGTTTCCTTGCAATCTGTCCTTTTATAGGTAGAGCCTCATTACCTAGGGCAGATGACTCGGAACCGAGTCCAGTGACTCTTCCATCTGTCTTCCAGACTCCATCCTGGGCTCCGGCCTGGAGGCACGCTGGCTGTATCTTCATGGGCCATGGGCTGCCGTCCTGGGCAGCACAGAGTAGGGGTTCTCAGGTGGGGCTGGGCTGCTGGAGGAGCAGGGTCCCCCGGGGGGGGAGTCATTTTGTGCTCTGTCAGGTGCTGCTGCGTGGGCCAGGGTCACATGCTCCCTGGCGGGACGGAACGTGGTGTTGTCTGTGGGCCACTTGCTTGTCAAGGTCACACGTTGAATGCTCTCCCTGTTCCCAGTGGGCATTTCGTTGAGTGTACTCTGAAAACAGCTCTATGCGGTGGCCTTCTGACGAGTTTGACCCTGGGACAACTCTACTGCAAGCAAAGCGCGCATGTGGATGAGTTTTTAGAGGAAAATAGAAGTAGCATCTGCTTTCTCTTTCTCTCAGCATAGTGGACGTGCGATGGGCTTTATGCCACCTCTGACCTTAGAAATTAAGTGAAAATGTAGTGACGTTTCATTGTTCGCCCAAGATTTCCTCCTCATGCCCCGGCACTTCTACTGGAAGAGGGGAGGTTTGGGGGAAAATAGTTCAGAAAGCAAATTTCCTAATACACAGAAACCAAGATCTTGTCCTTCTGTTTTTAAAAGGCATGCAAAGAGGGCTGGGAGCTACAGCTGCTTACGAGTGTTAAAACCAGTCTGTTTCTGTCTCTTCCTCCTTTCTGTTTTTCTCTTTCTTTAAATGTAGCTGCAGATAATAAGGATGAAGAATTCAAGGTCCCCCCAAGGCGGTCGTATCTGGGTACGTACCACACCGCTCGAGGCTGCCCCCTGGACCCTTCGCTTTCTTCATTCTGTGCAGCTCAGCCTCACTGTCATGCTGCTCCGTGTGTGTGACTCGTTTTACTAAGCGCAGCCATGTCTCCAGCAAACTAACCAACCCATAGCCTGCTATTTTTAAGCATGAACTAGTTCCTAGAAACCTGCCCATTGTGTGTGTGTGTGTGTGTGTGTGTGTGTGTGTGAGAGAGAGAGAGAGAGGGAGAGGGGAGGGACGGGTGGGAAGGAGGGGGAGGGCAGGAGACAGGTGGAAACAGAGATGATCAGAGTACAAGTTTTGGAGTGCTTTTGTTAGATTTATTACAAAGTGTTCTATTCTTTTTGATGCTATGGTAAATGGAATTGTTTTCATAATTTCATTTTGGATTGTTCATGGCTATCTTGTAGAAATAAAATTGTTTTTCACATATTGATCTTGTATCCTACAACTTTGCTGGTCTCATTCATTCGTTCTAATAGCTTTTTAGTGTAGTCTTTAGGATTTCTCTATAGGAGATTATGTCATCTGCAAATAGAGTTAGTTTTACTTTTTCCTTTCCAATCTGGATGCTTTTTCTTTTTCTTGTCTAATTACCTTAGAATTAGAAATGGCTAGAACGGTGAGCGCAAATATGCTTGTCTTGTTCCTGGTCTTAATGAGAAGGCATTCTGTCACCATCAAGCATGATGTTAGCTGTGGAGTTTACATAGATGCCTCATATTGGATGAAGCAAGAACCTTTCTATTCTGAGTTTGTTGAGTGTTTCTTTTTATCATAAAACGATGCTGAAGTTTGTCTAATGCTTTTCTGTGTCTCTTGAGATGATCATGTGGTTTTTGTCCTTTATTCTACATTGATTTTTGTATGTTGCACCAACATTGAGTTCTTGGAATAAATCCCATCTGATCGTGATGTGTAATCCTTTTTATAAGTTGCTGGATTCTATGTGCTAGTATTATGTTAAGGATTTTTATGTCCATATTCACAAGGGATATTGGTCTGCTTTTTTTTTTTTTTAAATTCTTGTGATGACTTTGGTTTTAGCATCAGGATAGTACTGGTCTTCTAAGTCAGGCTGGGAATGGGGAGTGTTCCCTCCTCTTCTATTTTGTTTTATTCCCACCTCTTCTATTTTAAGTTTGTGAAGGATGGGTATCAATTCCTTATTAAAAAATTTCTTTTTGAGGTGTAATTGACATATAACATCAGCTTTAAGTATATAGTAAGTCTAGTTAACATTGTTAACATCAGTCATTGTACATGGTTGCAAAAAAAAATTTTTTATGATGATGACTTTTAAGATCTACTCTTGCTAATAAGCAGCTTTCAAATGTGCACCACAGTCTTGTCAACTGCAGTCACCATGCTGTCCCTTACCTCCCATGACTTATTTATTTTGGAACTGAAAGCTTGTACCTTTGACCACCATCACCCATTTTACCTAGCCTGAATCCCCCACCTCTGGTAACCACCAATCTGTTCTCTGTATCTATGGGCTTGTTTTGTTTCTTTAAATTCCACATATAAATGCAATCATGCAGTATTTGTGCTTTTCTGTCTGATTTATTTCACTTAGTGTAATGCCCTCAAGTTCCATCCATGTTGTCGAAAATGGCAGGACTTTTTTCTTTGTTATGCTGAATAATATTCCATTGTGTATATATATATATACCACATGTTCTTTATCCATTCATCAGTGGATGGACACTTGGGCTGCTTCCAGATCTTGGTTATTGTAAATAATGCTGCTATAAATATAGGGGCGCATATATCTTTTTGAATTAGTGTTTTTGTTTTCTTCGGATAAATACCTAGTAGTGGAGTTGCTGGTAATTCTTTTAATTTTTTAAGGAACCTCCACACTGTTTTCCAGAGTGGCTGCACCAGTGTGCATTCCCAGCAACAGTGCACGAAGGGGTCCTTTTCCTCCACATCCTCGCCAGCACTTGCTATCTGTTGTCTTTTTTTTTTTTTTTTAAAGATTTTATTTATTTATTCATGAGAGACAGGGAGAGAGAGAGAGAGAGAGAGAGAAGCAGAGGGAGAAGCAGGCTCCCAAGGAGCAGGGAGCCTGATGTGGGACTCGATCCCAGGACCCTGGGATCATGACCTGAGCCGAAGGCAGACGCTTTACCATCTGAGCCACCCAGGCGCCCCTATCTGTTGTCTTTTTGATAATAGTCACTCGTGTACTTTGATTGTGCTTTGATGGTGTTCTTTGCTGTGCAGAAGCTTTTTAGTTTGATGTGGTCCCACTTGTTTATTTTTGCTTTTGTTTCCTTTGCTTTTGGAGTTAGATGCAAAAACTCATCACCAAGACCAGAGTCACAGAGCTTACTGCCTATGTTTCTTTCTAGGAGGCTTTTTTTTTTTTTTAATTCAAATATATTTGACATACAATATTGTGGAAATTTAAGGTGTACAGCAGGTCACTTTGAATACATTTATGTATTGTAATATGATTGCCATTGGAGTGATAATTAGCACCTCTATCATATTACATAGTTATAATTTCTTTGTTGTGGTTAGAATAATTACATTTTAGTCTCAGCAAGTGAGATGGTTATGGCACAGTTTGTCTATATTCACTGTAGTGTGCACTAGATCTCTAGGGCTTGTTTACTTCTCATCACAAGTTTATTGATTCTTTAAATGTTTGGTAGAATTATCCAGTGAAGCTTTCTGGGCCTGGACTTTTCTTTGTGGAAAGTTTTAAAATTACCAGGTCAATCTCTTCTTATAAGTCTGTTCAGATTTTCTGTTTCTTCCTGAGTTACTTTTCATAGTTTCTTGGAATTTGTCCACTTAATCTAATTTGCTGATACACATTTTTGTCTTATTTTTGTTTCTTTGCAGGTGGTTCCTCTTTCATCCCTCACTTGAGTAGTGTGAGTCCCCTTCTTTTTCTCTCTCCTTTTTCTTTCGGTCGTTCTAGCTAAAGGTTTGTCAATGTTACTGGTTTTTTTCCCCAAAGAACCAACTTTTGGTTTTGTTGATTTTCTCTGTTGTTATTCTATTCTCTACTATGTTTATTTAATTCTAGTATTTATTTCTTTCCTTTTGCTTACTTTTGGTTTAGTTTGCTTTTTCTAGTTTCCTAAGGGTGGGAGGTTAGATTGTTGATTTGAGGTATTTTTTTCTTTCTTTTTTTTTTTTTTTAAAGATTTTATTTATTTATTTGAGAGAGAGAGAATGAGAGAGAGAAAGCACATGAGGGGGGCGGTCAGAGGGAGAAGCAGACTCCCTGCCAAGCAGGGAGTCCGATGCAGGACTTGATCCAGGGACTCCAGGATCATGACCTGAGCCGAAGGCAGTCGCTTAACCAACTGAGCCACCCAGGCGCCCTATTTTTTTCTTTTTTAATATGGCATTTATAGCCATAAGTTTCTTCTAATAAATGCTTTCAGTGAATCCTGGAAGTTTTGGCATGTTGTGTTTTCGTTTTCATTGGTCTTAATAATTTTCTAACTTCCTTTGAGATTACTTCTTTGACCCATTTTTTATTTATGTATGTTGTTTCATTTGCACATGTGAAATCCCCAAATTTCCATCTGTTACTGATTTCTGACTTAATCCATTGTAGTTGGAGAATATACTTTGTATTATTCCAGTCATTTTAAATTGAGGCTTCTTCTATGGCTTCCCGGAAGGTCCGTCCTGGAAATGTCCCATGTGCACAACACTGTTGCTGGTTGGAAGTGGAGAGAATCTTAGTCTCATAGAGTTCAAATCTTTCCTTGGTCCTCTTTCTGGTGATTATACCCATGACTAAGAGCATCTATTGAAATCTCCCACTATTTTTGAATTATTAGGTTTTCTTTTCACTTCTGTCAGGTTTTGCCTCCTCTGTTTTGGGGGACTGTTGTTAGGTGCATCTGTGTTTGTATGTGTATAGTTTTATCTGACCGATGGATTGGCCCTTTACTGTTATAAATTGTCCCCCTATTTCTAGTAATTTTGTTTTGTTTTAGAGTCCCTTTTTTTCTGATATTAGTTTGGCTACTGTAGACCTCCTATGGTTGTTGTATGATGTATTTTTTCCCATTCTTTTACTTTTTTTTTTTAAAGGTTTTATTTGTTTGAGAGAGAGAGAGAGGAAGCATACATCATACATGAGTGGGGCAAGGGGCAGAGGGGAGAGGGAGAAGCAGACTCCCTGCTGAGCAGGGAGCCTGACTTGGGGCTCGATCTGGGGACCCTGAGATCATGACCTGAGCTGAAGGCAGATGCCCAACCAACTGAGCCACCCAGGCGCCCCCTTTTAGTGATCTTTTAAACTATATATGAATTTTATTTTCTTAGTGGTTGCTTTAAGGCTTATAATATGCTTCTTAACAGTATCTACTTCTACTAACTTAATTTATACTAATTAATTTTTAATCAGTTAAGAGAGGAAAGCAGAAGAAATATGCACTTTTACTGTCTTTTATAATTACCTACATAATTACCCTTACTTACACTCTTTCTTTTTTTTCGTGTAGATCAGCATTACTGTCTGATGTCACTTGCTTTCAACATGAAGAACTTATTTTTAGTATTTCCTGTAAGATGGGCCTGCTAACAACAAATTCTCTCAGTTCTTGTTTATCTGGGAATGTCTTTTTTTTTTTTAAAGGTTTTATTTATTTGACAGAGAGAGCACAAGCAGAGGGAGAGAGAGGGAGAAGCAGGCTCCCTGCTGAGCAAGGAGCCCGATGTGGGACTTGATCCCAGGACCCTGGGATCATGACCCGGGCCGAAGGCAGCCGCTTAACCGACTGAGCCACCCGGGCATCCCTGGGAATGTCTTTATTTTATTTTTGTTGTGAAAAAAAGTTTTGCTAGATGTAAGGATCTTGGTTGACAGTTTTTTTCTTTTCAGTGTTTCACTTTTTTCTTGTTGATTTCAAGATTTTACCTTTGTCAACATTTAGACTACTGTATGTGAGGATGTGGATGTCTTTGTATTTATCCTACTTGGAGTTTGTTGAGCTTCTTGGGTG